GCATTCTTAGGGTCACATCCTCGTCTTCCCACTTAGCTTTTGAGATATTGATTCAACAATGACAAATTCAGTTACAGAGTAAGTCATTCTTTTGGAATAAGTCAATCTCTTAGGTTGTAAGACGAATCAAACCACTCGACTAGCATATAGGAGACCTCAACAAAATTTCACTCTAATGCACTCATCACCATAAATGAATTACTAAGGATGACTCACAAATTGAATTAGTTGAAGCAGTACGACCTGATCAGTCAGGTGAATTATCTAACGTTTTATCATAGACTCGATCAGGTGTCATTCCGCCATACACAACATCGATAATCATATTTTACTCTAGATAAGTTAGGACACCAAACCATTTGTAGTCAATTGAAGTAAAAGAATTCTATTAATAACAAATAAGAAAATCAAAGAATCAATCGAACATTAAAAATAAAAAAAAAACTTAAAACTTGTATTAATCTCAAATTGAAGTTGAATAAATTGTACAAAGAGATTGAAGGTTTGAAAACACCAAATTCATATTCTCTTATATTTAATTCCTTCCCTTCCCAAAAATCATCAAAACAACCTTAGAATAACTACAAAATGGTCCTTAGACCAATTTCATTCATGTAAATATTAAATATTATCAACCAACACTCAATTCTTATATTCTTCATGGTGAAGTTACATAAATAAAACATTTTAATTGAAGAAATATCATTATTGTAACATATAATATATTATCCCCTTGTGCTTCATTTTTAATCCTCCCTTCTGCCATTTGTGTGCCCCTCTTTTGCATGTCCATTGAGCTCTGGCGTTTGTTCTGAATCAGTTCTTTGGAATGCTGCCTTTTGCCGGCATGGTCTCCTTTCAAACTGTCTAAAGGTATTAGAGTCATAGGCTTATATGATTACATATATAAATATTTATGGGGCATTTACGTACGTACCATACAATTGTTGTGTATAATGTATTACGTAAACTAAGACCACAACTTTCATATTTGCATGCATGGCTTTAAAATCTTAAGTGTTATAGATGTAGATATCAAATTTTAGTTGTTCGTTTTGTAAATACATAAGGATTGTGTACAATGCAAGTAAATCTCTCTCTCTCTCTCTCTCTCTCTCTCTATCTATCTATCTATCTATATATATATATATA